GTTTCGTGACAAGTGTCTTCTGATCCAAAAGAGGAAAAATAATCTTGAATAATAATCATAACGGCAGACAGTCTTGGTGGCTGTCTTGATATGATACCGATTTTAAGGATGGACATTTTGTTTGGTTCCCTACCGAAATGTCATTGTCTATACATGCAGGGCGAGTCAAAAAAAAAGCGACCTGGATTAATTATATTTGTTTCCTAAAAAGCAGTCAAATTTGAAACACAATTGATGTATGTCTTAAAAGAGCATGTTCTTCCACTCATCTGGAAAACAAAATACTGAAATTGATCCATGCTATCAGAAGTTATGCATGTTTTTACCAAAAGAACCTATTTGTACAGCTGTCCATGAAATGCCATTGAAAGCTATTGAGCTTAGTGCGAATTACATATTTTTATACAGGCATTGCATGAGAGATTAATTTTACTGTCAGATTTTGTATTTTGAATGTGAGGAACAAGTCATTTTTTTTTCTTTGAAATTGAAATATTGATGGCTGTTTGTATCTCTTTTCCTTTGCAAGTTTTTATTTGTTCATTGGGGTGGGAAAGCGTTCATGTTTCATTGCATTTAAACTGATATTCTTCAGTTCGTAGATATAGAACGGTAAATGTTCGGTGGTGGACAGCTGAATTTTGTGATCTTTTTGATTAAAATAGATATAACTTGTGAATAAAGTTTGCAAGTTATGTGAAATTTTCAGTTACTAGTCAACAACATGCGCTTAATCTCTATGTTATATTTATGAAATGGACCGAGGCACATAATTATTTAAAAAAAAATCTAATTCGGTCACTTTCTTGAAGTTGACTCACCCTGTACACTGCAATGTTTCACAGTCCAGAAACTTTCTTGTGAGACAATAAATTGGAACGAAATAAACAAAACTGTTAATGCCCCCCCCCCAAAAAAAATAAATAAATAAACTACACCCGAGTTTCAGCTCTTAAATTCACGAAGGCACTTAACATTGCTTATACCAGATTCTGCTCATGACCACGCAAGTTCAAATCTCATCAAGAAAAGAAATAAGGACGAAAACGGAATGGATTTTTTATTGTTTGTTTAAAATGCATAGGTACAGGCGCGGTTCTACAGGGTGAGTCAAAAAACGAAACCTGTGTCGGGACCATTGTTTTAGTGAAGTTCTGCATGTAGCACTTTCAACATCTAGGATATGAAAGCCCAATTCATAAGTTGTTTTTAGTACAAGAATCATTCAAATCACTCATGTAATTTTGAAGTTACGGAATTTTAAACACCACCACCGTTTAATAGTTCTGTCCACGGATCAACAGAAGTAAGCGTTCTTTAAGCAAAACGAAAACAAAAAACATAGGAATTTGTGTAAATTGTTTTGTTTTGCTGAATGAACGCAAACCTTTTTTTGCGATCCGTGGACAGAACTTTAAAAAGCTCGTTGTGTTTAAAATTCCGTAACTTAAAAAGTTCTTGAGTGATTTGAATGATTCTTGTACTAAAAGAAAGCTTATGAATTGGGCTTTAATATCCTAGATTTTAAAAGTGCTACATGCAGAACTTCACAAAGTCCCGACATTTGGGTTTCGCTTTTTTTGACTTACCCATAGAGAGCATAAATATTTCAGGGTGCTAGCAGGGGTGGATCCAGAAATGTTTGCAGGGAGGCGTGCTGAAATGTAGACCATTTTTTCCCCGGACACTTAGGCCTCCGAAAATCAATTCGGGGGGGGGGGGGGGGTAGGGGGAGACCGATCGCATGGACGTCACATTATAACATTTGCTACTCCCATTTTTTAATGGAATACTCTGGGGGGGGGTAGACAAAAGTTATTTTGTTGTTGTTGTTGTTTTGTTGGTTTTTTGGGGGGGGGGGGCGCTAGGGGTTTTTAGCGCGCATGCGTAGGTATATATGTTTTTTATTTAATTTCACCTTGCATAGCGGTTTAATGCCTCATCCGTGAACTCAATGACTCCCCTGCCAATTTAAAAAAATAAATTGCGGAGAAGAATATAATTTTCCCCCCAAATTACGCCGTCCCAAGGATGACTTTGCTTGGATGGAAACCATAATTGTGGAAATGTCACAAGGAGACCGTCGTGCGAGCCAATCACTGCAGCGACAGATGTGTCTATAGAGGTTCTTTCATCAGTTGAATTCAACTTGTGACAATTACTCTTTGTCGTAGAAATCCTTTCCTTCAACGCACTGATTATTGTACTTCCTCAAACTCATAATACTTCGACACGGTCACGTACATGTATAATGTATGGTGATTATTTAGGGCTCGCTGAATATTACTATAGGGAATAGATAGTCACGGTTCTTATATTCCATCATGCATATTACGATACAAAAATGCAGGTATTTTTGTATGCTTTCATGAATTGCACAGACTATAGAAACTGAAACCTGTTTTATGGAAATTTACAATACGACTTTTAAGTGCATTTAAAATGTCTACAAAATGTCACCCTCAATACCTCGATCATCGTATAACGCTGCTGGATGGGTATTGATAAAATAAATCAATTCAAAATCATGATGATATAAATATGGATGAACTTGGGACGCACGACCAAAGTAAAACAAAAACAAATAAAGCCCTATTATATTAAACTCGAATACTCCGTTCACAATTATATTTCCACATTGTACAGTCATTATGTACGTCATTAGACCCTGCAAGTTGGGGTTTCAGTTGACGTAAGGATCTTAATGTCATGAGGCAAATTCAGAATCAGACCTTAAATCATGATCTTTTCACTATAAAAGCTGCCTCTTCTCTCCGCTGTCGAACCTCATATCCTTGTCCCTTTATCGGCCGGTTTCTGCTTACATATTCATTACCTTTTCTTCGAATTACGAGCTTCTTCAAATCTAATTGTCGGTAGCCATTTTCGTCAACCTAATTTTTAAAACAGAAATCAAATAAGCAGACGGGAATTTGCGTCCTGTAATTCGAGGAAGTAATGATTTGTCAAGCATGGAAGTAGAAACCTTATATCATATCAGTTGTGAATTTTGTAATTTCTTTTGTATAGGCTTGTTCAAACGCACCATTTCCCCCACCCCTCCCCAGATTTCCAAGAAAGTTTGTTTTTATGATGTCCATTTCCAAAAAGCGTTGGTTCAGGGTGAGAGGTTCACACACAAAAAAATCATGGTTTGTTTTTCATTTAATTTATCCGGATGAGCTCGATTGATGTCGGGAGGGGGAGGGGGGGTTGTTGTTGTTGTTGTTGTTGTTGTTGTTGTTGTTGTCATCAACCCCCATTCACCATAGACATATGGCCAGGGCTTGCCTTTAATAGAGAAAAACAACACAAAACCACGAGCATAGGATATTTACCAGCAGGAAAGGTATTTTTCATCCAACCATGCACTTGCGCTTGCAAGTTGATGCAAGTTAAAAAAAAATCTAACACATCCGTTCGTCTGCCGTCATTGATTTTTGCGAGGGAAAAAAAGTTATACTCTAGTCCCACCGATTTTCAGTTACAATAACCTGTCTGCTTTCTTTTCTTAGTACCAATGACAATGACCATATCCAAAGTGGTTCAATCGTCAAAACATCGTGTTTCAGTCAAGACAAGTCAGTATTCCCACGCGGGACTATTCCATATTATGGAACCCCTGACAAAATGTAATACAAATGTAACCATGGCAACGTAAATGTGATCTTTCTTTGTCAGGCATAGGCAAAAGGGCCTCAAACAAAACACAGCGATAGAAATAGATGCAACCGGCGTGCCATAATGGACTTCATTGTACAAAATTTGTAAGTCGTCAACAGCAAAACCAATCAACTGTGACATTTATTTGTGGCAACCAATGCTTATATGTTTGATGTTGTGTTTACCAGAATATGGCAGACGATCCTTGCCTTGTAAAAAAAAAACATACAATTTTTATTTAGGGGGTTTTATTAATAAAATAATAACGTGCACAAAAATGAAGTATCTTCAAGTTCATAAATATACATTATGGTAATGATTTTCCTGGAAATATTGGCCAAGAAAAGCGTAATTCGTCACTTACAAAACCGTCAGATGAATTTTTGTTAAAATGCCCTTCCGATGTCACAACTTGAATATTATCACACTATACCCCTATACTACATGTCTCCATTACATTCATCTCTAGTGTCTATTAGATTGTGTAAATCTAGTTCAAAATGATTTCCTGGCGTTGTTTGCTTTCATACCATGTGGATTTTTTTGTTAAGTTCAATGTTCAACGGTCAAGTGGGTTTGTACGTCAATTGCCAAACTGTATACTTGTCTTTTGCAATGGGTACAAACACACAGACAAGAGAAATGTCACACACGAAGTCATGGGTGCACTGGGCCATTGTTGCCCAATGAAAAGATGACCCGTTTTTCACGAGGATTCCCCAACAAACTGAACAAAAAGGTCGACCCATTGTGCAAACAAACTCGCCCAAAAGAGCAACCCCTAAATAAAAAAATCATATCTATGGTCATAGGCCGACTTGCACAGCTATTCAGACTGCATAAGTTGTGCTACGTGCATTTCAGTCGTTTTCGGCTGCTCAGGTCGATGGAGCGCATTTTAGCGGCAAGATCGCATCTTCTCCGTCTAGAAGGCAGAACTTCTGTTTCCAAGGAGTCAGGTATGCAAATAACTTCCCTTTTGGGTGGGAAAGTACCCAATCAGCGAGCGCTAAAAAACCTCTGCAATGAGCGTTTATTTTTGTGTGCAGTGTATTATGTACGTGTAGATTGTACAGCATGTCTGTGCGTTGTAATCCTATACCGCGTAGTGCATGCAGCACGCACGTTCGTTCGTTGACTCCGGTTGTACACACGACGTTACTATACTCGTACTCGGAGAAAATGCCGATACGGGCACATATAACATGTCAAATTTAACAGGTTTACTTCAGCTTCATATTCGGTGACAGCATCTCCCAAGCCCGCAGAAACATCTCCGGAGCCATGGCTTCGGTTACCTTCGGTCAAATTATCGCCTCGGTGTTTTCCTTTTTCAGGGAGAAGAGTTGGTTTCTGAGGTGGCGAGGAGGGGACAAGCGTGCGGACATGGACGACGAATTGCAGGTAGGCTGAAGTTTGTGTTGAACGTTAGTAAACCACTGCACCACCAACGGCGGCGTTGTGTGACAATAAATATTATAATTTCAGTTTTATTGGCGCCGTTTATGAAATATTCGAAGAGAATTGAGACCCAGCTTGTCCCTAGAATTACTACCACTAGTACCACTACTACAGTTTTTATGTTTGTATCTTCTTGAGCCCGTTTACACGAATGTTTCAGCGAGGGTTCGGATGTCAAAAGTTTATGGTACACCACCGAAACGATCGTATTGACGTGGTCAACCACCGTGACTTGGTGAGGGTTGTTGTGGGTCGTTACCGGTATATCCCACTGGGGAATAGCCTGTATTTCCGGGATAAGGAAATAGGCATTGGCTATACCTGTGCTCCCTATATAACCCTGTAACTAGACCTATGAACGTGGCTACATACATGACATAGACACGATCCGTTCATATCTCTGGACTTTCAAATTTTCTGTAGTAGACATTCGTATGGGCTCCGTTTTTCCCTCGAATTTCTTTGGAATGACAGATCCTATGTCACTGGAAGGTTTGGGGATAAACTGTTGTGTTATGTAAGTACTGAACATACGTCATACAGTGCTCAGCCTTATTGCATAAATATCGTGTAAATTTGCCATGTAAGCAAGATGGCGCATATTACGGTCCGTGAATTAAAGTGCTTATTTTGTTAGGAAATACCAATACTATCTCAAAATGTTTTTACCCCTCCATAGACTTTGTACACAACCACTGAAGTGGTGTGTGGATATATTACATTCTTTCTTTCATCTACGGCGTTGTTTTGAAACATCATTTTTTTGTGTCAAAAAAAAGTTAAAATTGACTTCTTTTCTTGGGAAGTAAAGTTCAAAATTGCATTAGGTCTGATTTCCATCTCGTGAATACAAAGTCACAACGACAATGAAAGCATGGAATCAGACTAAGATTCATCAGGGTAAACATTTTGAAGTCACTAAAAACACTCACTGCGCATGTTCAGTGCTGTGCCGGTAAAAGATCTGAAGTTTTATTGCAGCAAAAGTGTACAGTTTATTGTTACATCTTATAAGTTATATGGTTAAAGAATAGTCCATCATTTGTAACTTGTGCATTTTGTTCGTTTGAAGCAACAAAAGTGTTAAAAATCTAATGAAGGATACTGAACAACTAACCTGATGAAGTTTCAGCTCAGCTTCAGCTGTACATTCCGAGAAAAACAGCATTCTAGGATCTCAATTTCAAATAAAAAGTTGCTGAATCATGTTTTGAATTGTTTTGAATTGCAGCTATACGCGATGTCGTGCACTGATCTGACGAATTATAGCAACCGCGCACGCCTGTGCGTCGTGCCAATGCTGCGCGCGCCGCGCCGAATAACAAAACGAACTACTAATTTAAATTTTCCTACGGTGCGTCTTAAGATGCACCGTTGGAAAGGCCTTCTTTCGTTGATTACTTCAAAATGATAGCTTGCCAGAAAGATTAATTTCACAGGGAGTTTAGTCCACTTACTATCTTTCAACCAAGTATGTTTTTCAACAATAATATGCCAGTTACTTTTTCGGATGGCTGCAAATGATGGACTAGGCTTATAGCTTTAAAGTGAATGGAGATTTTATGAATTTACAGGGAGACATCAGTATTGATGTATCTGTGTTCATGATGAACCTGAAATGCATTATCTACATCTGATGACTAAACATGACACTTCTAATGAATTGCGATTCCAACACAATAGCAGTGTTAGCCAAGCTAAAGAGTAAATTAATTGCAAAATACTTGTGTACAGACAGGCTTATCAGACACAAGCTTCCCACACACCCTACCTTGACAGTTCCTGGATTACTTCGCATAATGAATGAGTGTATTCATTACTCTAATGGTTTAATAGCAATTGCCTTTACACACACATTTCGTCATTGTATCCAGCCCAGGGCCATTTCTTTCTGTCTGTGTTTACATATATTGTTTGTGTACAACACTTGCAAATAGTGAAGAATTAAGACCTATTTTTGTACACTTTGAGTAAACACTCTCTGGTGTTGGTTGGTGTTGGACAAGGCTGAGGTTGGGATAGTATGTCCACTATGAGAAATTAAAGTTTAATCACTTGGCCAAACAAAGAGAGAACTGTAAGAGTGCAGTACTGCTATCTCAGTATTCATTCCTTGCTTAAAGATCTAACATGGGGACATTTGCTTTTTGTGCAATTTTATTTTTCGTTTAAAACAACAAAATTGCTCAAAATCTTAAGATAGAGTGTATAACGACTAACTTGTTGAAGTTTCAGGTCGGTGGATACTGTACATTTTGAGAAAACGGAAGAAAAGTTATGCACAATTTTTGGGTTCTGAAATTTTGACTGGATTCCATTGCTAATACACGTTAAGAAATTGATTGTTTAGAAAGATACCATTTCAAACAAAAAAAATTCACAAATATTTAATACCAGTCCTATCTTCGCTTTGAGCATGTTGAGCAAGGATTTTCTTGTTAAATCATTGTACATACATGTAAATTTCCAGGTAATTGCAAATGTCCCTACATGCCATTAAAGGGAATATACATCATTTGCTTTTGCTGTAATTTTCAGAAATGGATGGAATTGGGGGATTGGAAATATAAAGCAAATATAGTTACACTGACTTTTTGGAGGTTTTGGGTTCGAAAATGCTATAAAAACCAAGAAAAACGATCATTTACCTGTAGTCTGGTTCCCTGACTCCATATAAGAAGAAACAGAGCAGTTTACATACATTGGGGAATTGTAAGGTCAGGGAACCAGTCTAGCTGGCTCGTACCCGTTCATAGGTTTGTAATCGATTGCAAACAAGTGCAAAAGTCAATTGGGGCCAGTATTTGAAAAAAAAGCCAGTTGTTTCCAACGCTGATCGGCCGATCATCGTTGGAAATTGATACAAAAATACCACTTTTCTTGAAAATGACAGTATACCAGGTGCCATAATTTTACAGGATGCTTTAGACTGTCATTTACCAACGTCCTATTAAGGTATTTCGCAAAAACTTGGTAGTTTTATTTTTCGATGTTTGCAAATGTTGTATATTCCCTTTAAAAGTCCCAAAGACACAACTGCTCAAGTTGCAGGATTAAATATCAGATCTGAAAGCCAACAGGAATGGTTGGGTTGGTTGCCAGATGTGCATTTAGCAAAGCAACGGGGATCGGGAAGGACTAATTTAGGTCATTTTTAAGGTTTCCCTTTTGAGTAACTTACAATTTTTTGGACATTGCATTATGCGCAATGTTACATTTGTAAAGGAGCATCTGCCAATCCTAAACACCGGGTATAGAGTCATTTGATACCAATACACGCAGTACCGCGTTAGCTTTACAATGTACTGTAGTTTTTGAAAACAAACTTTCCCATTGTGAAAAAACTTGCATACATGTAGGCCTAGCGGGGCAGCATTTACAGTTGAGTGAACAAGTTTCTATGAATGTACACCTACATGTAATGTGTTCCCAAAAACTGTTTGAGTGAAGGCACAGACTATGACTCGTGTACACGCACAAAGTCAATGCGCAGACACTGTGTGAAATTATGCCATTTGGCTGATAGGAAACTTAACTTGTGTATGTGAAATAATAAAAAAGAACTTGCACATAAGATTGAAATAAACCCGAGGGAGTTACAGGTTGAAAGAGAACTTCCAGTGTTTTGAAAAAGAAAACCATTGACAATGTCCTACAGTTTTAATTTCTTTACAGTGCTCGATAAAAATTGAATTTGACAATTAAAGGCTCTCTCCAGTCATTTAAAAATATGTATTTAAACTACATGTATTATTGAATTCAAAAAAAAAAACCCGATAAATATTGATTTTCTTTGTATGCAAAAAGAGTAAGCAAAAAATGTGTTTCCCATATTTCTCTTCAAGTAAACTTTCATTTGATAAGTTAGACCCACCCCTGCTTTAAAGTCAACCAGATGGTCAATTGCAAGATAGAACCTTTTTTAACTTAAAAAAAAAAAATATAACGTTGAGCCCTGATGTCAACAGTTGTGTGCGTCCATTGACTCCAGTTTTTACCTTGTAGAACCACAAAGTTTTGCTCATTTATTAGTTGGCAAAATAGTTGATGAACAGGTGTACTTGACAGAAAAGCAACACAGTTACACCTGTCCATCCCCTCTCGAAATATTTTACCTGTGCATGTTGTACATAGTGCATTTAGCATTCTTCTGTAGGGCATTGACCTTTGTTCAGTATTCCTCCATAGGGATGTACATGTGCGTAAGTACAGTGCAGTTTTATAGTTGAGTACATTTCCATGAATACGAGTACGAGTATGAGTACCAAATTATGTTCTTGAGTATGAGCATTAAATTTGTATGAGTACTTTCCACAGTAAGGAGCAAATTTCAATATGTCACGTGCTTTAAATGGCTTTTTGCTATCAAACTAGGCATTATTTAAACTAAGCTTCCCAAACAGTGTGAAGAAAACTGATTCTTTTCTTACATGTAGCTCTCTTTAAAAAAATTCTTGCGGGAGAACATTTGCAAGAGTACGAGTACTTTGTCATGAGTACGAGTACTGGTAATTTTTTCTTGCGAGTGCGAGTACATTTTCATGACTCATACAAGTATGAGTACCAAAAAAATGCATTCGAGTACGAGTATTTATACTACACCACTGATACAGTGTATCACTCTGTACCCGCAATATTCCTCGCTGATTATACATGTTGTTGATGACTACATAAATAGTATTACATTGTACACAATGTAATTGTGCATGTACTTCCCTTGCAAAGTGGAGAGATCCTTGAGGGAGATTTGATTGATTGCACAGATTTCCGAAGGCCATTCTTGCTATTCACATTGCAACGTTCTGGTTAAATACTGGCATATTTAGCTGTTCCTTCGAATAATTTCTATCTGTTTTTCAGTTCAATTTTGCTAGAGCATGATACTGTCAGAAATGTTGATTTCCTCCAACCAGTTCTTTTCAGAACCACACAACTCACTAACA